TATATATATATACGTATAAATACATACATACATACATACATACATACATACATACATGCATGCATACATACATACATGCATAATACATACATACATACATACATACATACATACATACATACATACATACATCAGACATGACATGGCATGACATGACATGACATGACATGACATGACATGACATGACATACGGATATAGTTATTGCTGGCATGCCGGGATTTCTTGAGAAAAGAAGGGTGCCAAACAAGCTGAGGAATCGCTGGGGAGGAAGCCCGGCTTCGGTCAGGTCTTGGGGCTTGGGCTTGTGAGAGTACCTGCAAACAGCGCTCCGAACCACAAAGATGCAACCACATGAATGCACAGTGAGAAGCAGGCTCGCGCTTCGCTACCCACCGGCCATTAAATGCGCAGCCTGAAATCTTAAATGCTGAACAATATGCACAATAACACCATAGCACGCAGTAGCATGTCAAACTATATTCAGGTAGCAATATGAGTCTGTGATTTTACATGGGATCCTCGAGTAATGTAAGGTTCTTACCACAAAGACCCCTAAACAGGGCACTCCTAGTCCTAGGAAACCTCATGCCCCAAGGGTCCAAGTACCTAATAATCATAGAATCATATACTCTCCCAAATAGTAACCTACATAACTACTATCCGAAAGTTTAGGGTTTAGGGTTTAGGGTTTAGGGTTTTGGTTTAGGGAAAGCTAAGTACCTGATTCTTGGGTCCTTTAAAGGACTCTTGGGGATGCCCTGGAATGAACCGAGGAAGGCTGAAGGAGGCCAAGTCTCTGGGCGAGCTTCTTCACCGTCTCCTCAAGCGCTCCAAGGCGACCGGAGAGATTGCCCACTTCCTCCGGCTTTTCAGCGCAAAAGTTTGACATACGGGCCTTAAGAAATAGATTCTGGTTTTGGAGTAACACAAAAAGGTATATGTAAAAGAAGGGACGATAAAGGCTTTGCGGTAAAACACCAGTATTTAACATAGATATACTTTGACTACAAGGATCTTAAATGTACAGTATAGTGTAACTATATAAGGAATCTAGGAGGTTAGGGGTCGGTTTTAGTATAGAATAGCTGTATATCCACGACAAGGAGCTCGCTGTACCCAGCAAACACCCAGCACTGACAAGGAACAGTGGAAAAGTTAACCACGGTAATGTAGGGGCCTTATAAATTAGAATAGGGTTTTGGGGCCCATTATAGTGAAACTATACTAAGGAACCCTCAAACTAGTATAGCTAACTATTTGGGCCCCATAGAAGCAGGAACTACAGGTTGTTTAAACAAAGACCTCCAAGCCCAATATATCGCCAGGACAGTAGGTTACGACACCTGGGTTATGAAGCGTAACTCTCCAAAAAGCCCCGAGCCCCTTAATCGACACTTACAGCTGTTACAAAAAATTGAGCCTAAACTCTTAAGCCCAAAGCTCTCATCCCCTACTCCATCGCAGTCTTTGACATGACATGAAATCAGCAAGCCCGAAGCCCTAATCACAACGAGCCTGCGAACACGGCAGCCCCCAAACAAAAATGGCGAAGCATCATACCGCAAATCCCTCAACCCTAAACCCTAAACCCGCATCCTTTGCAGGTTTTGCTTCTCCGGTTACTGTGTCTCTTGCCATGGCTTTTTATAGGGCTGAGACTGGCTAATCCTGGAAAGGAACTACAATAACTACAATGCAGCCTGTAGGTAGATCCTCAAGCCTCGAAGCCAAAGCTCAGCCACTGAAACCCAAAAAACCGAGGTTCACAGAGCAATGGCCGATGGACAACATCCTGCATCCACACTTCCTAAGCAACGCACCATGTTGCCCATGCTTCACGGTACTCCAAGGTACCCATAGGCCCCATAGTAGTTCCTTTTTGGGATTACCTCATAGGATCCTAAATATAAGCCACAAAAAGGAACTACTAAACCCTAAACCCTAAATATCCGCCACAAAAAAGGACCTACTATGGGACCTATGGGTACCCTAACCCCCCAGTTATCTACTATATAAATTACTAGAGCCCCTAAGGCCCTATATAGCAGGTACCTGGAGGGTTAGGGGTAGTGCAAGAGAACCAAAGCTGGGATGGAGCTGCTCAGGCCTCCCGGAGGCGATCCCCATCTTCCTGCCACAGCTTGGGGGGAAGAATGCTTTTACTAGGGTTTAAAGTTTAGGGTTTAGGGTTTAGGGTTTAGGGTTTAAGGTTTAGGGTTTAGGGTTTAGGGTTTAGGGTTTAAGGTTTAGGGTTTAGGGTTCAGGGTTCAGGGAAAAGATACAGAATTCTGTACGCTGAACTTGTGCTTGCCAACTGCGCCCTATATATGTAGAGCAGGCAGTATGCTACTGATGAAAGTGGTTTAATCGCTTCCCCCTTATCAAACACCCTCTGATCATACAAACACATTGGGGACAATCCGCCCGAAATCATCCCTGCCCTTTAAAAACAGTTCCAAATTAGGGGAAGGGTTTCGAGGCTCCAGGAGCAAGAGCAAAAGCAAGAGCAAGAGCAGCAGCAAGAACACAGCAAAAGCACGAGCGGGAGTAAGAGCAAGAGCAGGAGCAAAGGCGGGAGCAACAGCAAGAGCAGGAGCAGGCGCACAAGACGCAGCAGAAGCAGGACAAAAAAGCCAGCGCAGGAGCAAGAGCCAGAGCAGGAGCAAGAGCACAACCCGTCAAGAGTGGCAGTACAAATAAACATACCCCCTAATGATGAAAACACTTTGCGAGTTTTTAATGGGGGGGGCACGTTTAATATAAGGGGCAAACGATTAGGGCTTAGGGTCCGTTCGCTTCTCTCAATACTGTATGCGACGCCCGACACCCTACCCACAAACAGTCCATAGAATAAAACAAACTCTGCTGCCTAACCTGAAACTAGAGATTGAATCCTTACGACGACTCACATTCAACGCGGAGGCTTGCTTCATGTTCTTGGTTTAGGATCTTCGTCAAGACTTCTGAGCATTCCATGTTGACGCTTTAGGGGCGTATCGGCAGACTAGGCTCAAGCTTCCAGGGACGTTATTATGACTATTTCCTTAAGTTGTCAAGGGCTCTAACTATAAGGCCCTTGGAAGCATGGGTAAGCTTAGGATTCTGGGTTTGGACTGCATAGTTTTCAGAAGCACTTGGTTTCAGATTCCCTCGAAGAAGAACATCGCTGCACAGACAGGTTGGATTTTGGTTGAGCATGGAAACGTATCAGCTCAAGGCTGCGGGTGGTTACCCAAAAATCCCAATACCACTGAATTGAGGAATCTACCTGAAATTAGAGAGGCATGCCTTAGTATTATGAGGTATAGTAGACGTGGTGCGAACATGCGACATGTTTGCGAGTATTTTCGAGTTAGTCAGGTACACTGACAAATGACAACCTTCACACAGAGTCTGACAAACCTTCTTGATCAGGAAGGTAACAAGGGAGAGAGGGAGGGAGGGAAGGGCAGGAAGAGAAAGGGAAGAAGGGAGGGGAGTGAGGGAGTGAGGGAGGCAGAAGAATAGGGGAAACATAAGACAAACTAAATGATCAACATCAAGAACTCGTTTTTCATTTTCTAGCTGCATTACATGTTGTACCTTTTTCTTGCAATCTGCTAAATGATACCGCACTTTGGTTTGTTGCTCTGACCGGCCCTTCCACCCTATTTGAAGGGAATCCGCAATCGCCCGGCCACGTTGCCTTCTGGGCTTTGAGGTTGTCTTGTATGGTCGACATGTTGGCCATGTTCGTGGTGAAGTCGTCCTCGGTGTAGGTTTTACACGGCAATGTGGGGCTGAGGATTCATAAGGCTTCTTTCGGCAGGGAGCTCGTCTACACAGGTGAAGGCGGAAACCCTAAACCCTAAACCCTAGTGAGCAGGGTAGCAGGTCTCCAGCCCCTAAGCCCTAAGTGCACCCCTGACTCGTCCAACTCAGGGCTTTGAGGTTTTAGGGTTTAGGGTTCAGGGTGTGAATACGTGCTTTGCAAGATACTGTCCTACATTATTCTCAGAACGGACCCTTGACAAGAGGGTGGGTGGTGTCACCAAAACACGGAAGCAACCACACGACATAAAACAAGCAAGCAAACAAACACAAACATGCACACACACACACACACAGACACACACACACACACACACTCCCCCTCTCTCTCTCTCTCTCTCTCTAAGATACGCAACACGCAAAACAGCAAAATGGGCACCCATGACAACTTCATGCAACACCTTACCTCTTCTATGACCACATAAACCATCCAAGCTCTCCGGCCAGACTCTGGCAACACAAACCTATCTCAAACACCCGATGCCAGCAGCTTGTGGCAACCATACAGCATGCTATTGCTCTTGCTCGTTCATACTAACAGTTACTACCAGTGATTAGTGGTACGATAACTAACCCTATGCTTCCAGGGGATCTTATTTTGGGGTGTTTAAAGGGCCTAGGGACCTAACTATAAGGTCCTTGGAAGCAAAGAACCCTAAACCGTAAACCTTTGGAAGCATAGGGCAATTCTGGTGGTTCTTCAGTCACCATGTCCGCCACGTCAGTCGTCATGAGTCAACCCGGGTAGTTCTCTAAGTTATGGGTCCCTGTCAGTGTTCCTTAGAGGAATCTGTAAGGGTTCCCATAGGGTGTCCGCAAGGGTACTATAAGGGTTGTATATGGGTAGTCCTCTAAGTTGGGGTCCCTTTTAGTATATAAGGGTACTGTACTATTTGAGTGACCCAAAAGCTCTGAGTTTCGCAAACTCCCCCCCCTCACTCGAATTCTAACACACCCAAGGCCTTATTCCCTGAACCCCACTAAACTGCAAAGCCAAATAGGGCTTTGGGTTTAGGGTTCAGGGTTTAGGGGTTTAGGGTTTAGCGTCCTAAACCCTAGGCCCCTAAACCCCTAAACATACTACCATACCTCGAAGCTCTGGAGCCCGACGCTGAACCCTAAACCCTAAACCCTAAGCCCTACACCGACGACTGGAACAAAAACAAAATCACACGCAGGAGGCCCAACATCCTGAAGCCCTGAACTGCAAGCGGTTTCTTCCTCCTCAAAACTCCAGGGTCCGAAAACCCTAAACCCTAAACCCAAACCCCCTAAACCCCTAAACGCCTAAACCCCTAAACCCCTAAACCCCTAAACCCTAAACCCTAAACACTAAAACCTCAACTAGCTTGGCCCCTCGAAGCCTCCGACAAATATTTTCGTAAATAAGATCCTCGAAAGCCCAATAAGGGAACATCGAACATGTCCTTAAGGCCTAGTATAGGGGCCTTAATATCTAGAATAGAGTTTTGGGGTATATTATACTACAATTATAATACGGAGCCCCTAAAATAGTATAGGGAATTAAAAAAGGGCCCCCACATTGCCTAGAAAAGCAGCGGAAGCCCCGCCCCTGCATCTTACTGTTGATGGACAAAATTCTGCATGACCCAAATATAGTATGGTACCATAAATCCCATAGTTTAGGTATATAAGGTCATGCAGGATTTTGTCCATCAGCCGTATGTCCCCACGAAGCCGAAGGTCCTCAAGCCCAGACCCTTTCGGGACACAGGGTTTAGGTTTTAGGCTTTAGGGTTTAGGTTCAGGGTTTAGGGTGTAGGTTTTAGGGTTTTGGGTTTAGGGTTCAGGTTTAGGTTTAGGGTTTAGGGTTTAGGGCCGGTTGAGGGTTCAGGTTTCAGGTTTCAGGTTCAGGTTTTAGGTTTAGGGTTTAGGTTTAGGGTTAAGGTTTAGGGATTTGGAGTTGTCCAGGTCTCCAAGGACATGCTCTTGTCGCCGCCATCCTTGCCTTGCCAGAGACGCCACAGACATCGGGGTTCGTTCTGGAGGCCAGCCGGAACCCGCGAAACAGCAACACCGTGAAATTCAAACAAACCAAACCCTGAGTGCTTGCCGCACCTCGTGCCAAAATCGTAACACTCGGGCTGACGAATCGCAATGATAGGGTTGGGGAAATAGGCTGTAGGCATTTGCCACTAGGGCTTAGGGCTTTTGGGGTTTCGTGGATGTGCGGAGTTGTTGAAGGTCCTGAGAACTTATGGGACCCTCACGGCTAACCCCGAAAACCCTACACCCTAAACCCCGAAACCCTAAACCCTAAACTCCTAAACCCCAAACCCCTAAATGCCAAAGAGACCCGGAGGCTATCCCCACGCACCCGAACCTACCCCAGAGACTTACGGGACACTTTGGCCAGGGTCTGCAACACATGCTGCGGGCCACAGGCCATGGGTGATGTACCTGTAGTCTCCATTGTGGTTCCTTTTTTTGGTTTGGCCAATTATATATTAAGGATCTTATAAGGCATCCCCAAAAAGGAACTACAATGGAGACTATAGGTATAGAAGAAAAAATAACCCCGTATTTGGGTACCTTGACAATAGGATACTATGTCGAGTGCACCGCCCCGAAGATTTAGGAGAACTAGTTAAGGCCCGCAAGAAATACCACGATCGCTTTATGGATTTAAACGGTTTAGGCGGGTGGTTGCCGAAATCCCAAAATTCAAAAATGGCCCTGTAGTAGTCGAGCCTCAGCCCAAGGAGTTTCGAAGGTTTGAGAAGATACGTACATGCATATCGATGTATTTACGAATAACAAAACTAAAGCAATGCATACACACACACATATATATATATACATATGTTATCTAGCAGAATCTAGCACAGTCTAGCAAAGCATTGTCTTGATATTGGGGTGTAAGTTCGTGTCAGCTCGTGCTTGGAGAGGCTCTGGTTGCCAAGAGTATGAGTTTCCCCACCTTACACCCTGAACCCCAACACTCTGAATCACTTAAGCCTAATCCCATACACTCTAAATCGCAAATCCTTCCCCAACCCCAAGCCCCATGTCTAGGGCAGCTTTATGTTCAGGGCAGGCAAAGCTATCGGTCCGGGTCATCGTCTGTCTCCTAGCTACCAGTACCTGGCAATCAGAACCCTGGTATTTAGGGGGTTTTGAGATTTAAAACTTAGGACTCTAAACCCTAAACTTGCCATGAACCCTAGACCCAAACTTTCGACCGTCATATATGGTCGAGCGGCCACCGCCCTTCATGCGAAAGAGTGCCCCGAGTGCATCCTGCAGGCCACACGGTGGTCTTACATCTCCCTGACGGCTGAAGGATCTAGGACTCTAATAGAGGGGCCTGAACAATTAGAATAGAATTTGGGGGTATAGTATATTTCAACGGTAATAAGGAACCCCCAAACAAGATTGGTAGTTGTTTAGGCCCCTATATTGAGTTGGGATTGCATCTTGCTTATGAGCCCTTTTCGTTGCGTTGCCATGATGTTCCGCGCCCCGCACATATTCACAGAAATACGTCATGCTGGCAGTGAGCCTAAATCTACATTACATACATGCTTTGGCACCATGATCTTACAAGCAACATCGCGTCAATGTCGTTTGCTGAAGAGGTCGTGGGATACTCAGGGTTGCTGTCTGGCAGGTTCTTCAACTAAGGAATCCTGAAAGGAAAGGGGTCCAAGGAGGGCATATGACGTAGGCATCCACAGTTCGACCTAATGCAGGGACCTCCATAATTTAGAATAGTGTTTTTGGGATCTATTGTACTATAGTTAGAATAAGGACACCCCAAAATAGTATAGGTATTTCTTGATGCTTCTATGTTAGAACTCTTCAAGTACCCTGTGAAGATCCTGTAACGAACAGTGAGACAGTCCACGGGCCTTCTGCAAGAGTCTGTGAATTCAAAGGCGTAAATTCCAAGCCGTGTAAGGCCTTAGGGTTTGGGGCTTACAGAGCATGATAGTATTATGAGGTGTAGGCTGATGCCGAATTGACGGATGCCATACATACTATGTTAGGTTCTTGTACTTTTAATATGACACGGTATGGTAATTAAATTTTACAGATAAGTAGTTATTTAAACGCACAAGCAGCTAAGCCAGCTAAATGTATGAATGTTAAACGCTTGCATAAGCAAGGTCTGCACGCTACATAAACGGGTATGTGTATATATATATATATATATGTATGCATATATGCATGTACGCATGTATGCATGCATGTATGCATGTATGTATGCACACATAGGTATATGTATGTGTATATATGACTGGATTATATCTATATACACCTACCCTTCAAGGTCTCTTAGGTTGAGGCGTTAGGGATGAACGCCCTAAACCCTAAAACCCTAAACCCTAAAACCTAAACCCGAAACCGTAAACCCTAAACCGGCAATCCTCTGCTTTCTGGACGAGCCGGCTCGTTCGGCGAGCGCTTCGACCCCCGCCTTCCTGACAGATGACAGGGTCCGGGGATGGGGGTAAGGGTTTAGGGTTTAGGGTTTCAGGTTTAGGGTTTAAGGTTTAAGGTTTAAGGTTTAGGGTTTAGGGTTTAGGGTTTAAGGTTTAGGGTTTAGGGTTTAGGTCTAAGGCTCTAGAACCAGAAGGAGTTCTTAAGACGAGGGTTGAGGACTCAGAATTCAGGGTATAGGGCAGCAGGAGCCCCGAGAATACAGGTCTTATTGGGGAACGTAAGGGGTGTTGTGGCCGGAATGATCGGTATAGGCGTTTGTGGTGTATCATGGTGTAGCTGGGGATAGGTTTAGGGTTTAAGGTTTATCTTCAGAACTCTACGCGCGAAAGCTCTAACCGCAGACCCCAACCTCATAAACCGTGAATCCGAAATCACAAGTCCACCCGAAAAGAAACATTGTGTGGGGCGGCCGAAGACATTGGAGTAAGGTTCTTCAGTATCTCGCACCGCAGCATTGCCACTGATCCTGTTGCACTCGTTCTCTTACTTGTGGTTGTGCTTGCATGCTCCTGTGATGTTCATGCAGAAAATCATGAGCACGGGATGTTGCTTGAAATCAGGTAGAACCCTAACAGTCCTTCAGGGCGAATGGGTTGAGAGCCCTGGACCCGAAGCCTTGAACCACCCAAACGGCAATCTCTGTGGGGGGGGGCGATTGGCGAACTTCCAATCAAAGGTGTCGGGTTTAAGCTTAGGGACTTAGAGGGTCTAGGGTTCAGGGGCTTGTTTAGGTTTTTGGGTTTTTAGGGTTTAGGGTTTGGGGTTTAGAGGTGGAGGGTTTAAGAGCTTAACTTTTAAGGTTTAGGCAGTTTTGGGAAGAAAGAGTTTTTAAGCGGCACGTGCTCTCCGTTCCCGTCGCGAAGGTCTTCTGTTCAACCCTGCCCCTGTGTTTCCATGTACCCGAATAGTGTTATATACCACATGGACACTTTTAGGTATAGTTCTGGCTTACTGGTACCCCTTTCTACATATATATATATATATATGTATATATATATATATAGAATACCCTTAAGTGCCGTTCCATATTGTGTTGAGTACGCTGTTCGGGCGGGGTTTAGGGTGTGGGCACATGGCCGCTTACAGTGCTCTCAAGCAAGCCTAGAGCAGCACAATCTGCGTTATTCCCTCTGAAAACAGCGCCCTTGTTCAGAGCACCGGCGCCCTGCCTCTCATCTGAGGTCAGTCTGAATCCCAAACCTGAATACCCTTAACCCCAATTCCGATCCGAAGTGAAGCCGGGCTGCTGTTAGGTGCGACATATTCAAAGAGGAGGTCGGAGATAGGTCGTCGTTAACATCCCTGTGACAGGTGCTGGGCTGTAAAGGGGCTTGTAGTAGGAGGCTCAGGCTTCGAGGTTCATGAGGGTATGGTGTCCAAGAGACGAGGCGTCTCACACGTTTTCTGAGCTTCAGAAGGCTGAAGTCTTTGAATTTACTTAGCCCAACTTCATAGATGTTCCATACTCATGAGAAAACAAGAACAACCTCTATGCAGTACGTTGCGCAAGTTTTGGGGGTTGGGGCTTCGCACGTGATGTCGGCGCGGAAGTTCCGGCTAGCGAGAGTCTGGGAAGGGACGTTGTAGGATCCCATTGCTGGGTCGCAGCTTCCTGACATCGATGAGCCATGGATACAGGAACCCTAAACCCTACACCCTAAACCTCAGACCCCCTAAACCCGAAACCCCTAACCCCCAAACCCTAAACATTCCTAAACCCTAACATCCCGAAACCCTAAACCC